AAACCTGACTAGATTCTAGTCGACCCAAATCCGACGCGCGATCCCCTGTGAAAAAGTCAACTACGAGGAACACAGCGTCCCTGACTAAGATATACTTGTCCGCTCTTGAAAGACTCGAGCTCTCCTGAATGCGATTTCGAAGATAACCTACAAGCCTAGTAAATTTCTCGAGGAACAATGGGACTCCCTGTGAAGGCACAACTCCCACACTGGCCTGTTCCTCCCGAACAAACTTCAAGTACTCCTTTACACGGGGATGCGCAACCGGATTGGAGTCATGCAACCGTCCCATATTGTTAAAGATAGCTCTAATCTTGCCAAGCAGTGAGTCAACTGTCCCTGCGGCTAACCGGCGTGGGCACTGGCAACCTCTCCGGGAGCAGTTCTTAGATTGGACCGGGTCCTCCCCGACTTGTCTTTAAAAATCAAGAACTTTATGATATCCTCTGCATTGCACGAGGATATTGTCTTTGGGGGGTTGAAAGAGGAAACAAAGTCCTCGAACTCCTTTTGAAGGGCCGATTTCTGCCGTTGGCATGTTCCACTCTTTACTCTTTCCGAGAACTCCTGGAACCTGTCGTTGATAGACTTGTTTTGCACTCGGATTATCGAACGGTCTGGCAACCTGCAACAGGAGAGGGCGGAAAAATTGAACAAGCGGAGTAGGTGTTTGCTAGCAAAGGCATCGAAAGGGCCACAGATCCCACTGTAAAGGGCGAGAGGCCCACGTTGAGCTGGGCCGGGCGCCCGGGAAAAGTAAAACTGCATGTGAACCCTTGTTTCCTAACAACAAACGGTCTACAACAGACGCTTGCAGAGTTGCTCACCAAAACGGCCTTGGTCGGATGTCTGGGGCGACCAGGGTGAAAGAGCCGTGGAAATCTTGGTCCAAGATAAAACGGAGCAGGGACCCAAGAAGCACAAACGGCGGGAAAACATACAAGTTGTGGTTTCGGGGTAGTTCTTGAGCAAAGACATTGATACCCGCCGTACCTGGGGTTGGCCACGGTGTGAAGTGTGGAAGTGGACGTCCGTTACCATCCGTTCGACAGTTGCTGTCCAAAGACATCAGATCGAAGGAATGAGGCCCAAAGTACCGATCTGCGCGAGCCCATGCTTGGGGAGAGAGTGCACAATCCGCATCGGAATATCTTCTCGAGGGTTGGTCTGCGGGGTTGTTGGTCTTTGGACGGGATGTAAAATCTTTGGACCGTGAAATTATTATCACGACTGTGGCGAAGGATCTCTTTGATCACGGTATTGACCGCCGAACTTTTACAGCCGTCGTTATCCAAAGCGTGCTTTAAAACCAGGTGGACGTCAACTCGAGATTTCGCGATCTGACTCCTGAAGGCTGCAAAGGCATTAAGAAGGGCTCTTGCCTCAAGCACGTTGATGTCGCCGCCCGTATCGGCTTGCCTGTAATCGCTAGACTGAAAGGTGTTTCCGCCGTGTTGCAGCGTAGCTCTCCACGCACGTAACGACGCGTCGGAATACAGCGAAACGGAAACGTGCTGTTCTGGACGCCAACACAAACAATCCTCTCATGCGTCTAGGAAACACCAATGAATCAGCTCGTCTTTAAGGTCTTCCTTGATTGGACTGGCTTTGACGAACACGACAAGCGTGATATGGCCTTGAAGACCTCGCGACTGTATAGCCTACATCCTGGGATGGCCAGACAAAAGGACAACACCTTACCAGCGAATCTTTGGAGATATTTTAGATCAACAACTCGTGATCCCAGGATATTCTCCCTGAGTAACTTGAACTTTTGACGTTTGTCGTCAGGGACCACAAAAGCTTGGCGGGTTGAGTCACATTCAAAAGCCAAGAATCGCACCACCGTAGCAGGAGTACAGTGATATTTCTTGATCCCAATGAAGTATCCGGCCACGATGAGGAGACGCCACATGATGTATGCCGCTGCCTCTGCGAGCATGCTACTTGGGGGAAACTTATCAAGCATATCCTCAGGTCTAAACAGCTGACCCACATGGCGATCGTCGATGTATTGCGAAACCGGGACGCCGAAAGATCTCGCGGCGTCTGACACCAAAATGCCGAGCTTATTATAAATGAGAGCGCTTGCTTTCCAGCCGAAAGGGAGCTTCCGGTATACAAAGAATACGCTCTTAAATTCAATACCAAAAAATGTCCACGATGAGGGGTGCAAAAGGACGTGTTGGTAACCGCTCATGTCGTCGAAGCACGTCTGAAAGTGGCCTGGTAGAACGTATCGCGGGAGGTCTGGCAGGTGATCAATTTTGAATGGAAGATCCTTGATCCACGTTTAAGGAAAAAATTTCGATTTTTCAACAAATACTTGGCGCTTTGTTTCCTTTTCGAGTGGAGTACGGGTAGACGGAAGGACGGAAGGACGGAAGGACGGAAGGACGGAAGGACGGAAGGACGGAAGGACGGAAGGACGGAAGGACTTAGCTATGGTGCTCCGCTAAAAACACAGAGTCCTTTATCTTTTGCGCGTAATAAAATACTTCCAATCGTCGGTTTTTCCTCAGTAGGATTCTGATGGCATTATATTCATTTTGATTGTAAACGTTAATGTTGAAATCTCCTAAAATTATATCAATATCATAATTGGATAATATATTTCTAATATCATGAGTATATTGGGAAATGCTAGAACTTTTTTTCCTGTATAGTAATATGATAGATTGCTTTACATTAGCTCTATGGTTAATAAGCACAAATTTTATTGCATTTACAACAGGAAAATATTCATACTCCTTGATTTCAATGTAGTTTTTAGTACATACCGCTAAACTYGAGAACCTGTCTGAAGAATGATCTTGCCTTAGTAATGCGAATGGTTGTAGATTTTGTGATATTTCATTGCCATTTGTATTAGGAAAGAGTTGTGTCTCTGTGAGAGCTAAAACATCACTATTGAATACAGCAGTATCATATTTTATGTCAATACTATGTTTATTAAGAGACCYAATATTAAGGAGGGTGTTTACTAATGACAAATTATATTATCCAGTAAGGTTTTGATGATTGCAGTCACGAATGCTAAGCTCTGTGAAGTCTTTTCTTAATCTTTCATACTCATCAAGTACTTTTGCATTTGCTTTCACGTGTTTGTGTTGAATTTCTCCAAGTATATAAATACCTTGTAATGTTTTTGCACSACTTAATGCTACATATATTTGTCCATAATTAAAGTTTTTTTGTCTATTGAGATCAAAACTAATTACTACTTTGTCTAAAGTGAGTCCTTGTGTTTTATGTACTGTGCAAGCCCATGCTAGTGTTAATGGAAATTGTGTTYTTTGTATTTCAGGTGAGGATGGCTTATTAGGTCTGACTTTAATCTTTATCAAGATTGGTTCTATRGGTACTACTTTGTGTTGTTTGGCATATTGATTATTACCGTTATTGATCTTGTTTTCTCCTGCTTTGCTATCATCAAACTTGATGTATATTATTGAAGGTTTTTGAGTGTTTGGATTGGTATCTATTTTGACTACAGTACCAATTTGACCATTGATCAGCCTGTCTGCTATGTCAATATTAGATGTAAGCATTACTCATCTTGCAGTTTCTTTCAAATGGAATTTATAATCAAGTTCACCTGTTTCAGATCTTCCTCTATATAATACTCTGTCAATATCGTGTTTGTTTACATTCTTAGGATATTGATCAGTTGCTCTCACAATAAACATTGGTTTAGGTATTTGCTCTAATTTCATTCTGTTGTGTTCATCTACTCGCTTATTTTCTGCCCATATATGCAAAGCATCTGATGGATAATTAATATCTGCTGGACTAATTGATCTTGACTGAATAGCCTTGATGTCTTCATCTGTTTGAGTTCCTATTCTGAATCTGTTCAACATTTCAGTGAATGCTTGATCATTTTTCTGTCTCATTATTTCTGTCAGCTCAATCATTTTAAAGACATGCCAGGGATGACAAAGATTGAAAGCATCATTTTTATAGTTCTCAAATACAAGTCTTCTACGAATTGGTGGTAACTGATATAAATCTCCAACTGCAATAATACTTATACCAGCAAATAGTTGCGAATTAGTTGTACCAAAGATTTCTTTTAATCTTTGATGGATATGAAGTAGAGTTGAATTAGCAACCATTGATATTTCATCTACTATTAATAACTTGAGGTCAGACAATGATAATCTTAGTTGTGTTCTTTTTTGGTCTGACATGGCTGGTAAGATATCACCAGTATTTATAGGTATTGCTAATGCTGTGTTTATTGTTGTACCATCAATATTAATAGCTGCTACTCCAGTAGGTGCTGTGAGCAATACTGTTGGTTTCTCAGGATTCATTGGGGCATATCTAATGATAGATTGTTTTAATCAAATGACGTTTTCCTGCTCCTGCACCACCAGTTATAAAGAGATATAATGGATCAACTTTTTGTGGCTTTAGGCTGTTCAAGCTTTTCATTTTATTTCTACACCATGACAGTGTGTTGTTCGATGGCCGAAATAAGTAAAGAGACAGACTGGATTTGTAACGGCACTGAACTCGTTTAATCCGCCATTATAGTATTTACACTTGAAGCACGACTTACATGAGAACGAGGCAGCGGTACACAGGGTACCCGAACACTACAGACAGGACATTGTTGTATGCTGTGTTTTGCCTTTAGGCGGTTTCCTTAAGTTGACTTGTCGAGTACCACAATTTTTGTACGTTGAATCCTCTGGTTTTATTGTTACATTCTCTTTGCTTTGAACAATTTTTCACTCTTACATTCATCATTATGTCAAAAAACTTGTGGGCTCTTCTCTTTACACGTGAATTTTGTAATATATAGGATTATTTCCCTAAGGGATTTACATTGTCATACAAAATAATATAATTAAGTACTATTGGTTCAAAACATGCTGTACGTTGCATTTTGTTTAAAGATCTTATTGATTGGCGTAATTGATCATCAGATATTTCTGATGGTTGATTATAAGTTGCTATTGCTGCAGGAGGACTAGGATTTTCTGTATTTGCTGCAAAGTGTGATGGCTCTTGCTCATTGAATTCCTCATCAGCTGAAGACTCATTTGGTGTACTATTTAGTTGTAGATCAGCATTTTCCTGATCATTCATTGAATCATATGAATGTACAACTCTATTT